GAGAAAGGAAAAATTGAAATTGCATCATATGACCCCTTTAAGGTCTGCCAACAAGGTCACGGGGCACCAAAGGAAACATCTTGGCCACGGGCGTTCGAGAGCCATTTGCATATTTGCTAAGGCCGCTTCTTGCAATTCATCATGTCAGCTGAAAGGGAATAATAACGAAATCCAAATGCAAATCCTGCGTCAGTTGCATAGCAGTTTCCTCCTCAGATCTGACTGATAAGAGCTGCGTCTCTGCCGGGTATCAGTCTGAGCTACAAGGGAGCCATTCATGCCAGCCAGAAGCCACAGCAGGAAGACTTGAGATTTGAATGCGAGTTGTCAAAGCTTTCATGGCTCAAAGAATTAGATAATAACAATAAGCCTACACATGTTCAAAGAAGGTTGATTAATCGATACAAACACTGAAGGATGCCACTTCTAAGCCCACTGAAGAGCACATAAAACGGTGGGGTTTTTTGATCAAGCGCTTGGGGGATCTTAGAGACGGAGAGAATTTGAATAACAAGACCATAAGGAAGAGAGCAACACTTTTGCTTTAGTTTAGCAAAGTTGAACATGTAATGGACTTCTGATTAGGGAAACACTCCATGGCTAAATGAATGTTTGTGACTTCAGGCAAATTCCAGATCCTTAACTCACCCATCCACACCTCTCCAAACTGCCCTGCTCCGAGCTTCTTCACCATCTTTATGGATTCTTTAGAGATTTCCCATGCATCTTTGTCCCAAGGTTTCTGTGCTTTTGGCTTCTCACATGGTTTCTCTAGTTTTCGACATAATCCGTCTGCTTGTTCTGTGACAAAATGATGCACATCCTTCTTATTTTAGCAACCCATACATAAACACACATAAATAAACATATAATATAAATGTATATGTAATATATAACAATACATTTATAAATGCATTAAATATATGTATATATAAAACATGCATTTTATTAAAAACGCATATACAGTACATGTTATTATTATACATTTATACATGTATAAATAAATGCAATACATTTGATATTAAAGCATAGAGTACATTTTATTCATGCAGCTACACAGTATATTATCGTTTATTTTTTGGCATCCTTAGAACTTACTGTGGTAATGTTTTATCATGCTGTTGATGTCATTGAATGTGATTTTTGGAGAGATGTAGTAGCCTCCATTATCCAGAGATCTGATTTTATAATGCTTAACAACATCCTGCCCCTGAGCGTCCGCATCTCTGATTGACAGTGAATAACTTCCTGTTCACAACAATGCAGAATATGTTACACCACAAATTTATATTTCCACAAAGGACACTAGTAGACAGTAAAGAGTGTGCACCTTTTGAGGTTTCACTCTCCCGGATGAGGTAAGACCCAGGTTTGTTAGCAGGTGCCAACAACTGTCTCTCTGCATCCTTCCGTGTGATATCTTTGAAGAACCATCTAAATTGCGTGCATGGTCAATCAAAACATACCAAGATGAAAAAGATAAAGTGCTCAAAGATGAATACATATATAGTTACACTTGTACAGTAATTCATCATATTGAGCAGCACTCACTCTTCTGTTTCCATAGTGTCTGCTTCTGCAACATAGTTTGAAGGAATGAATCCTTCCTTTCTTGTGGTCAAAGACCTTGCCTTCCACCACTCTCCATGCCTGGACAAAAAATATCACACTTCACATAAATATCACACTTCAAATAGAGCAACAACAACACAATAACAGGCAACTAAAAATAATAGATGAAACAATCACTCACTCTTCAAGAATATTTAACTTCTCTCCTTTTTTAAAGCCCAGATCATCAGCATGAATGGCGTCATACGGATACAAAGCAATGGCTATTTTTTCCTTTTCTGTATTAAATAAATAAATAAATATAAATAAAAGTAATTTTACAATAGCATCAGAATGTGGAATAAAGCTCATCAGACCTACCTTCCAATTTTTGGAACACCTGACCAGGCAGGAGACCGGTAGTCGGATTATTCTGTGAAATAAAACATCCCATATAATCATGATATAATCATGACAATGGTTTAAAGGTATTAAAAACCCTTCTCTTTAGAGTCTATGAAAGTCAAAACAGCTAAATTAATCTTGACAAGATGTTTCCCCCCCATCACTACTCACTACTTACTATATGAGGCTTATAGGAGGTTGGATCTCTCACATATACAGTTTGGTCGGTACGTACTGGCTGGTGTTTGTTCCCTTCAAGCGCACCTCCATTTTGGTCACCATTCAACTTGGATTTTTTACAACCCATGTTTCCTGCTAGAAGAAGATTAACCATTGTAATTTACTGAAATATGAACAGAAATTGGAATTAAATCAAAACAAACCAAACCACAATCATGAAACACTTTTACATCGAAATAACTCTACAGTGGATTACATAATTATACCTATACAATAAGACTTATATGTGACATTGGACCACAAAACCAGTCATAAGGGTCAATTTTTTTTTTTCGAAATTGAGATTTATACATCATCTGAAAGCTGAATAAATAAGCTTTCCATTGATGTATGGTTTATTAGGATACGACAATCTTTGGCCGAGATACAACTATTTGAAAATCTGGAATCTGAGGGTGCAAAAAAACCCAAAAAACTATTGAGAAAATCGCCTTTAAAGTCAAACAAATGAAGTTCTTAGCAATGCATGTTACTAATCAAAACTTAAGTTTTAATATATTTACAGTAGGAAATTTACAAAATATCTTCATGGAACATGATATCCTGATTTTTGGCATAAAAGAAAAATCAATCATTTTTTGACCCATACAATGTATTTTTGGCTATTGCTACAAATATGCCCCAGCGACTTAAGACTGGTTTTGTGCTCCAGGGTCACATACTGTATAACTATAGATGTCACTGCTTCGGTATAGATAATTAAAATCGACACAACTGATGAGGAGGAGATTCCAGACCCATGCTCTTTCCCTGAAAAAAGACATCAATGATACTTCTTTTACATAGCAGATACAATACACAACATTATTTAATTTAAATATGTATTAATATTTATTAATTTGAGAATTTGATGATTGATATGTACAACTGATTTTTAAAATTATTTTATTACTGCTTTTTGAAAAAAAAAATGAAATAATCATACTACAAAAGGAAAACATATTTATTATATTTATTAAATATATTTTAAAATGATTTAAT